CGCACGAGTGACATTCAGCCGACCAATCATTAAAATGAGGAATTTTTACACAAAACATGATGTTTATTGCGAAAAAAATGCTCGGAAACACATTGAACAGGTTATCTTTCTCTGACATGACTTAAAAATACGTTGCTAAGTTAGACTAGTTTATGTACATGTACTCACCAGGGTGACTAAAGATGAGCTGTTTTTCTGAATTGTTTATCTCTCTTATCCTGGTGTGTAGTCTTCCCCGAAAGCCCTCGGTTGAATTATTATGATTTCCAGTAAGAGGATTGACGACTGCTTACCAGGGAATAAGCAAGGGATAAGAAATCAAATTAAAATAAATATCATCAGCTCTAAATCTATTCACAATGGTAACCTAAACCTTAATCCTGACCCTAACCGTAAACTTAACACTAAGCCTAACCTTAATCCTAACCCTAATTACAACCCTTATCCTAACCCTAACAAGCTATTAGCACATTGTCCAAACAGTACTTAGAAACGTGATCAGGGTGAAATTTGCTCCCTGGTTGGTGAATAGCGTTGATATTTCAGCTATCATAATAACAGGTGCCATTACCTGCCAATCACTAACATGCGTTGAAGGTCATTGGAGCGTTCTCACTCCTGCGAAACTATTGTTGAACTTCGCCATTTCCAGGCTTTTTGACGGATATTTTCCGTCCATTCTGTATTCTGACAAGTACAACCCTAATGATTGCTGGAACCTGTGGGGTTCACTGATTAATCGGAGAAGATTCTAGAGGATCTTAACTCCTTTATAAAAATTTTAACTTATTATTACACAATAGGTCATAGAAGAAATACAGTTCAAACCTCATGATCACATAATATTAGTTTAAATAACTTAATGAGTTTATTTCGGATCTTTCCATTAAGTTATCAGAATTTATTGATCCTGCATAAATCTACTTCACACGAGATTAATCAGCTGCTCCGCCTTAGTGAATCTTTCCTTATTTATTTCCATAAGCTATAACTTGATAATTTTCAGGTATTGGTTTGGTAGGGACTTTGTTTGATTACATGGCGGATTTCATCATCAGCTGACATCAGTTAGAGAACCATTGGAATTCAAGAACCATTGAATCGAGTCCCAGTGGCTCAATGGTCTACGAGCTCGCCTTGTAACCAGGAGGTCCTGGGTTCGAACCCTGGCGGTGAGTGCCTACTGATGAAGAGTCCCAAACTAGGACAAAACAGCTGTCTAATAACGTGATAACTCAGATACATCAGCTTCAATGTAATGCTAGTAGGCGTTAAATGAACATCGTAAGACAACACTTAACTTTAGACACTATAGAGACGCGTACAAACCAATAACACCGGAAAGAGCAGTTGTGCTAACTCAACCTTAACTCTAATCCTTCGGCAACCTAACCCTCGCCAACCACACATGTGCCCAAGGTTTCCATTCGCGGTAGGCTCACTCTTAACGTTGGGCTTGAGGCCAGCGATCCCACCGCGGAAAAAGTAAAACAAGTGCTAGTGAAACTTCAAAACTCAAGATTGAAGCCCTATGTACAACTTGGAAGACAAAAGAATGAAAATCATAATGTATAACCTTATTCTATCTCTAATCTAACCCCAACCCTGGCCTAAAGCTAACTTTAATCTTTCTCTAAATTGACTCAAGCTAACCAGATATCCCGTTTACTAGAGCTATACTTAATTCTACAGTACTTTTCATGGATACAGTGTTATTTACCTGACTTTACTGCCTTGCTCTGACTAAGTTTTATATGGTCACGGTCGCGTATACGCCTGTTGACTGTCTAAATTTAAAATTCGCTCACTGGAAAAAAAATAAACCACCCAACTAAAAGTGCATAATATACTGACGACTACTCCTAGGTATTATAAAATTGATTCTGTATTCCATGAACACAAAATAAAATACACAAACTCCTAATTTAACGACAAATTCAAAAAGAAAACAGACGATTAAAAATACAAATCATAAAATTCCTCCTGCATATACTTCCTGGGGGTAGTGTAACAAAACAACTGATCGCTGAATATTCAATTTTCAATAGTATATTTAAAACAAATCGTTTTCTGTCAGTTCAAATCTCTTTTTTTCCTGGTTGCATGTGATTTCTAACTTATAATAAAACAGTATATGTCCATGTGTGTTTTCGATCTATCGAACAGGTGGAATCACGAATACCACCTCCTGTTTTTTTCTCTATTCCTGGTTAAATGTCTTCAATTAAGGTTTACTAATTGTTCGGATTTACTAGTCCGGAAATGCTCACTGAGATCAAACAATGAAAAATTCATAAGTTTCAGGACATAACTGATATCTCTTGTACAAGAGATGAATTCAGTGGCTTAATAACTTAATGAATAGTTGTTTTAGCGCCTGTAACAATGAATGTTGGTCCCCACCAGCAGTGAGAACACCATCACTCGTTGAAAAGCCCTGTAAAGCAAAGAAACCTTGTCATGGATTCCACTGCTATTCACCGTATGCCAAATAACATCAAGGTCTAATTTACCTACTTCTTTTAAAATATTTCAGACCAGCATACTCAAATTCTTTACTACAGTCTATTGGAGTAACTGTTCCTCTTATTCCCTCGAGGTTTACTAAGAAATTTAATACTTTTACCTAGTTTTTACTGTCCAAGACAGAGCATAGCATTAAATACCTTTGAAAAAAAGTTCCTCAGTTATATCATATAAATGTAATATTTCATCTAGCCTTTTACAAATAATAGTTATACTCATAATGCTTTGTACCGACACACATACACTTGTGGTCTTCTTTTGTTACACACTGACTGACCAACGGTAATACATGTTGCTTGATGTGTTCCTCTGACAGAATTTAAAAAAAAACTAAAACAGGAGCATATATTTTATATTAAATTGTAAAACTTCGAAACTTAGTAGATATCACGTAATTCTCTCCTTTTCTACTTAAAAATGAAAGCTAAAATTCTTCCTTCCAGTTGATAAATAGTTCACTTGTTCTATCTTTCAGAAAGCTATTTGGAACTTCATAGCTTTGGTAATATTTGTGCAGATAAAAATCCAAATAATAAATTATTTTATGAACTTTTTATCAGATGGCTTCTCATTTAAGATGTTTTTTTTGTCGAAGCTATTCATCTTGTAGACTTTGTTTAAAATGAAACTTAGAGAACAGGTTGTCTCCAGACATTCTATGTTGTACAGTTTCTAAAACCAGTTGTCTTTCTGCTAGGTTTGGCCACTAGTCAATCCTGTTAGTTAATAGATGGGTTCTCTTTCCTGCCAGCGGAGCTTAAAGGGGATGTTATCATTACATAAAACCACTCAGCTTATGAAATACAAAGTACCTGTTTCTTGATATGTTATTCAGCAATCCTGCGTGATATTTTAGGGGAAGAGATAACATTTACCTTCCTTTCTGAAGAATTCACCGTCTCAGTTATCTTAATTAATCCCAATGCCTGATAGAAACTGTCTTCAGAGTATGAAGTGATTATCAAATGACTAATATAGTGTAAATTGCTTAGTCTTCTTCTATATATCTACCTTGAAGAAAGATAAATATTTTAACTTTTTATTACAAGGATTTACATGGGCTGTTTAAAAGACAAAATGTCGAAAATTCGTACTTTTATAATTTCATATTAAGTGACTTAAAAAACCTACTAAGTGGTTTAAAAGAAAAGACATTCAGTGCTCATAAAACATGTCGAAAAAATGCAGGTGAATTGAACACACGCTAAGGAGACCATTGACTGAAATCATGAGCTGGTCAGCCTATCCGTTGAAAGCTGAATGGAAATGACCAGTTGGGCGTCCGAAAGTGATATAAAGGAGATTATGAGACGAGATGAGAACTTATGGGCAATTGTAGAGGAGTGAAGGGAACAGGACGAAATCGGGATATGCTGTTATTATTATTGCTGTTCCCTTGGGTTCCTAGTGGAACATAGGGCTTCAACTGCACGTCCCCACTTGCTTCTGTCTTCTGCTGTACGTTTCACCTGCATCCATGTTAGTCCATACTGTTTCAACTCCTCTTCACACGATCTCCTCCATGTCACCCTTGAACTGACGTCCTACTCGCCACTTCCCTTTCGGGTTCCACTCGAGCAGTGGCCTGACGTGCGCGCGATGTCACCCAGCGGCCTCCTCAGCGAGCGAGTGTCCGATCCATCTCCACTTTCTCCTGAATATTTGTTGGTTGGCGATTGGTTCTTGTATTGTTTGTTCCCATCTGATCTTCAGTATAGAGCGGAGATAGTTGTTGGTAAAGGTCTACAACAAGCTGTTGGAAATATTCTTTGTGACCCACCAAGTTTCTGGTCCGTATAGGAGAAGAGACTTGACGTCTGTATTGAAAATCCGAATTTTGTCGTTGACGCTGAGTGAGGAATATTTCCAGATTGGTTTTAGGTTGATGAATGTGTTTTTCGCCTTCCCGATTCTCAATCTGACATCCTCTTCCGTTGAGATATGCTGTTGAAGACCCAAATTTCACTCGGAACCTAAAGGAATTATAGTAATAGCATAATTGATTGTGTCGGATTGAGTAGAGCTCAACTAAAATTAAAAGAAAGTCAAGTTAAGATTAATGTCATAAGGATTAGAGAAGTAGAAGTGGGGAAGCGGAAAAGTAATTAAATTTTTAATTTTTTTAACAAATTACTTATCAAGTCTTGAGTTTAATTGTAGGCTCAGTGACCAAACAAACTTTGGCAAGATTTCCGCGTGCTCTACAGATGACTTTGAAGTTGGTTCACGCATTCTGTCGGTGTCCAGAATCGACCAGTTGTTCATATTATTAGTCGCATTAATAATACCACACAGTCACTAATGTCTCGTATACACATTTTCCTTCTTGAACAAGTCATAATGATAATGCACGGTATGACGATGGTCATAAGAAGATATTTGAAACAATCAGACGTTAACGATAAACTGGATTAATTTTTTAAAGATTATTTAAAAATATCTTATTTTCATATTTCTGCCTTCCTTTTTTCCAGATTTTCCAGCTAAATCTCTCCCATATGAAAGAAAAAACTTGAATATATCAAATACACTGAACTATCCTAGTTGTACTTCTGTGACTTTTGAAAACATCCTTACAAATACCACTCATCCAACAGGCAATCAAATTAACCAGTCTCATTTATTCATGAATTCAAATCATGATTGTTTACTGCGTGTTTCTAATAGCGATGGATCAGATGGCTATGGAAGTGATCCAAGCCGTTGTTCAGCTTTTCTGTCTACACCACAAAGATCTCCTACTCCACCGGCTATTTCATGCGCAAACAATTCTGATAACGCTAATAATATAACATCAAATCATTCAACATGTCCGCTGTCTAATTTTACACTCCCTAATAATATAACCAATCACAATCAATCTGCATTCTTCGATATTCATGAAAATCTATCTAGTTCAGCGACTTTAGCAGTGAGTAATAGTGTACCAGGAAATAGTATTCCATTTCATTCTAATGAAAATCAACAAGTTTTCAATACTTCAGCATCTGAATCACATCAGTACTCATGGTTGAAATCTTGTCCACCTAATTCGACTTCTCTTGGTAAACAACGTAATCTGTCGATGCCCACAGATTTATTCCACGTGGCTAAAAATACTTCTCGCTCAAACAGCAACCAACTTAGAGGAGCACCTAATATGAAATCTCCACAGAATCCATCACATAATTTTTATTCTAATCAGTCGAAAAGAGTGGAAAATGACAATCTATGTCATAAATATTATAATTCTAATTATCCAATGAAGGAAGAACATCTCAGTGTTGTAAACTATGATAATACAATGAATGGACAAAGAGTTATCCCAGTGATATGCTTTGAAAAAGCCTCTACACCATCTGTATCAGAAGCGACAGTCTCAGAAGATGAACAAGAATTTCCAACTGTTTATGAACAACACAACAGACAATTGACATCGCCGAATGTAATTAAATTTCCGCCATCCTCATCAACACCTACATCTTCACCAATGTCATTAACAACCCTAGAAAAAAATTGTGTTCATTTAAAACTTCCAAAGCATAAAACTTCTAATTGGATAGGTAAAAGACCACCATGGCCTTACAATAAAGGCTGTTCATCGTATCATTATAAATCACATGGATTATTTAAAACAGGACATCATTCTTATACTTCGTCTATAGATAATCCAACGTCTACATTTATATGTCAGTGTAAAACTAATAATAATAATAATAATAAACAAAATAGTCAAGAATTGATTGAACACTTGAATCAATTGAATTATCGAATAAATAAATTAGAGAATGATAATTTTGCCTTACAAAATTGTCTATTAAATCAATCAGCTTCAAGTCAACAATTACATCCACCGTCAACATCCCCATTACTGCAGCATAAACAATCACTTCCAGTGAATTTAACACGTAAGCATAGTCTACCAGTTAAACCGTTAAGTAGCTATCAACAGATTCAAGAAGATCAAGTCACACCGCCTACCACATCACCAAGTATAGTGATCAATGAAAATTCAATCAGTGAGTATAGAAATTTGAAAGAGCTCAAAGTTAAAAAATCTCAGTCTAATATGCCTAAAAGACAAGAAAATGGAGAAGATGTGAATGGAGACAATTTAGACGAGAAACAAAATCCAAGAGATGACAATTCACCCGTATTTACTTTGGATTAAATTAGACTGGATAAATTTTGTTCTGAATTTTTGTAAAAATCTATTACATAAAGCACTCAAGAGGAAGAGTAATTAACTCTTTGAAGTCCAACCTCTCTATGTATTTTGTTCTTGTACAATATGGAAATCAATATGAGTGTATAATCACAGCCATGGGAATACAGAGAAAACACTGACCAATTCAACTTTTCCCTTATTCTCCTTTTATTCAACCAAACAATGACATGCTAAAAGTGGGTTTCAAACAGTGTATGTATGACTAATGTTTACCACGCATGTATTACTGCAATAAATAGCCTGTCTTCTTAACCAGCCTACATATAAACAGACTAATTAACTTGATACATAACAGTGTAATGTATCTCTTACATATATATATATATATATATATATATATTTGTTAAAATTATCAAAAATATTCAAACTCAACAGTTTCTTTTCTGTTTACTGTACCAATACCTTCCTTTTTTTAAAGAAATATTCACTCATGATTATGTAAATTGACATTCGAAACAGCAATAAAAATTAGTAGTAATCAAGAAAATTTGATTTAATTTTTTAATTATCTAAGTAGTCTAGTAAATAGGTATTATAGTAAGTACTGTAGTGAAAACGTCTAAGTATTCAAATGATGTTCAAACTTGAATAAATAATAAGGATGATGAGTGCTAACAAGTACGAAACATTGATCGTTGAAATGTAGACCAGTTGATCGTTTTTAGCATTCGCTATCAAACAGTGACAGCTTAGGCTCATATAGAACTCTGAGTCAATCAGAAGTTAGAAGACATATTTATTAAAGTCCCGGACTTATTATTCATTTGATTTTAGACTTAATTTTTGTCACAAAAAGTTGGATAGATGTTGAAAACAGATATATTTGTATTTGGAATGAAATAAGATTCATCCAAGATTAAATAGGCTTTCGTTTCATTCTTCACGTTCTAAATGAGAAGTAGGACCTCAGACTATGAAGTTTCAGCAATAGTGGTGTTATTTTCACCAGATGGATTTGTTAGCCGCATGCTAAACCACCCTTCTTCCTTAGCTTACTGTCAGCAAACTGGGTGACGCTTACACGAGTGCGAGAATCGAACCTAGGCTGCATATGCGTCTCCTACCACTGGAACACCCACGTATAGATTAGAATCAGAATGTACTATAATTTTTCCGTAATAATCGATGTTTGACTATAAGCATCACACCATCAGGCTTAGGTAGTTAAGTACGACTTATGTTACAAAGAATTTCCATCAGTATTTCAGTAGCACCGTTTCTATGTAGGTCTTTCTGTCGGCAGGCAACTGAAAACTTGTTGGACATTCTTAAGATGTACAAAAGCATTTGTTTTAGAGAGTTAGACAAATAATTCTATTCAATGTTAAATCAAGCACTGACGTCGGTTAGATCACCACTGAAAACTGAAGAGTATTCATCTAAGACTTTTCAGCAGCATTCATCCGTAACCGTATCGGAGATGGAATCAAGAAAGTTAAGGTTACCTGGAGAGTTCGTTGACTATCCAGCTCTGTGATGGAATCCACTGAATGGTTTATGAATTCTACCATTTACCGGTTCGTAATATGTAGTTCCTTAAACAGACAGTGTCACTGAGAGCATCTTTTCTCATGCTCAACCAATGATTATAGTGCATATTGCTAAAGAGTCAAATACTGCGAGGAAACAACTGTCTACTACTCCTGGTTTTCTATAATTCTCTAAGTTATGCTAGTTTATGATGACGTAACAGTATTTGTAAGCACATCTTCAGTTCACTTCATGAAACAGTTTGCAAGAATAAGACGAACAATTAAGTCTGACTTATGCATTGCAAAATAAGAAATTGAATGATATTCATTTTCATACTCAATTCATGTTCACATTTAGTCAACAAAAGCATTTGTAAACACAGCGATTCCATATAAAAATTCAGACTAAATTGGAATTTTCCCCGATTCGCCGGAAATAACGTCTAGGTAATAATTCTGCACAACAGAATAATACCAATTAAACATTAGAAAAATGTCTCAGGTAACTTCTCTACCCAGGAGACAAATAAAGATTTTATAAATAAGTCTAGTCAAACTAAGTACTGCCTTGCTTAATGAAAGAATACTTTCTACAAAAACTTCAAATTAGGAAAATCGATAATATAAATGATCGCCTTAGAGATATGTCTCAGTCAGGTGGATATGCAAACGAATGCCGGTTCACCTCACGGAAAATACCTATTAGTTGAAGAAGAAAAAAGAAGACAAATCAGTGCAGAATACTTTCTTTACCGATGAAGTCATCTTCAAAGGTTGTACCACACTAATTATATTTACCAAAAATGTATATCACTCAATTATCGGGTAACAAGGACATTTTTTTAATATTTTACTTTTGATTACAGCATGATTCCACACTGTATTTTTGGTACAAGTATGGAATTTTCAGCGTGGATATCAGTAGCCCGAATTTCGCAGGCCAACCACAAATATCACGTGTTTGTCGATGGGGAATCGAACCTCGGACCATGTGCATGGTCGGCGAGAGTCCTAACCACTGTGCCACCGACGTAGTTACTTAGAAGTGATTTTTAAGACTAGAAAGAAAAGAAGTAATAGTCAGTGAAACAATGGAAGTAAGGATTTGGAGTTTGGTAGATAGAAGCTGTCATTAGATGAGGAGCGAGGTAGATTGAGTTTTTTCTTACGACTGAGAAGGTGACAAATGAAACTTAGTAAAATGTACAGAAGGAACGTGTACGAGTGAAAATAAAGAATTAGGATTTCATCATCATCATCATCAGCTGTCCAGTACTCCCAGAATTTCCAATGGTTCTCTGACTAATGTCAGCTCATGATGAAATCCTGTAAACCAATCAAATCCCTACAAACCAACACTTGAATAAAGAATTACTTAATATAGCAGCATATAAGTAAGACTGAGTTTAAGACCATGTTAAAATAACACATGAACAAACCTTTTCTGCACACAGAGTTTCTAGTTGCATTAACTAATCGTTTGTGCCTCCGACATACAAAAATGTCAAAACATAACACCGCTTTTGATAATCTGTCCTGCATTTTACGCAAATATAAAAAAGGACTTCGATGAAGTTACTTGGCAAGAGTTCACTAAGTGATCAAGAACTGAACTCGAATTTAACTTGCATTTTCCTCTTGACATTCATATTACATAATGTTTAGAGGTGTATTAAGAAAAAATGGCCTTTGTGCGGTCAATATTATCAACTTCACAGCTACATTTGAGTTTATCAACACACTGAGGTGATACAAAGCAGAAGTTTAACTGTCACACATCTGCTAATCACTTGCCGACTGTAGAAATAAATCCATAACTCAGTAGAAGATAATGCTTTTCTAAGTGATCTGGATAAGTGCTTCTTTGACATTTATAAACTTCCATTTTTTCTGCAGTCTCTGCATTCTTCCAAGCTTCTGACTTAATTTCATGATTTTTTCGGTGAATTGTCTAAGGTATACACTCTAAAGGAGGACATATTTGTCTCTCCAGCTGCATCACTTGTGCGAAGTCTTCTTATTTTCGAAACTAAGGAGTGGATTAAATTTCTCCTTCTTCTAAAAAAGGGTTAAGATATAAAATTTTCTGTACTCAGTATTCCATGTTGTTTTCTCGAACATTAACCTGTGAAGGAAACCACTACGTCTTCCTTACAACAAAACATATTTAAAAATTTAAATTCAGAGTTCACGTATGTACAGAAAAAGTTTGTTCACTGTGTTATTTTAAAATGACCTTAAACTATGTCTTACTTATTTGCTTCTATATTAAGTAAGTAATTCACTATGTTCACTTGTATGCTTTCCTTCTGTACATTTTACTAGGTATCACTTGTCACCTTCTTATCACTCGTCAAGGGGAAACTCAACCTACCTCACTTCACATCTAATGACAGTTTTTATCTTACCGGACTACAAATCCTTATTTACATTGTTTCATTGATTATTACTTCTTTTCTTTCTAGTCTTAGAAATCACTTCTGAATGACCGTATCAATTATATCACACATCCTTTTTATCCAATGATTGAGTGATATACATTTTTGGTAAATACAAGCAGTGTGGTACAGCCTTTGAAGATGACTTCACCGATAAAGAATGTAGTCCTTGCTGAAATATCTATTCATCCTCAGGCATTCGTCAGGAGTACAGTAAGCAGTATTATTGATGAATTGTAATAAGCAGTTGTTTCGCAGTTATAGTTGTGCCTTTTCCTATAGACAATTCATACAGGAACGCTAAGGACTCCCCAAACGGTCACGAAGGCTTCAAAGCCATCGAGTTAATTACTTCCTAGTCCCTCAGTTTTACATTCTAACGTATAATAATTATTATTATTGTTCCATTTAGTTCCAAGTAGAACATGGAGATTCAGCAGCATATCTTCACTTTGTCTTGTTCTCTGTGATCCTTTTTAGCTCTCTGTACGATTGCTCATATTCTCCTATCTCCTACTCACACGTTTTCATCCCCGTCACCATCGGATAACCCACTTGACGTTTCTATTCAGGTTCTACTCGAAGACCTAGTCAGCAATTTCATTCTTTGGTCCCCTCAACTTGTGTCCAATCCACTTTTATCTTTATTGAGCAAAAGGTCCTTGAGTAGTTTGTTCACATAGTTTCTTGCTGCTAATTTTTTTCTGACCAGTGATCTGGTGTTTAGTATGCAGCCAGTGATGGCAGCTTTTGATCAAATTCTTCAGCAGGCTGTTACTGAGATGCTTTTCGTAACACATCAAGTTCCTGAATCATACAGAAGAAGTGACTGGATCACCATTGGCGTTGAAAATCCTAATTTTGTTGTTTATGCTGAATGCATCAGATTTCTATACTGATTTCATTGTGATAAACGTTTCCCTTGCCTTTGTGATCTTTACCTTTAACATCTTCATTTGTCCTGCCCGTAATTGAAACAAAGCTGCTTAGATAAGTGAACGAAATATTCTCTTCCCAATAACCTTCACAGGTA